AGGGAGGTGAGACCTACTGCCCTGAGACAGTTTCCAGTTGCTCCCTCCGAGGGGAAAGCCAAGAGAAATGGAAGTTCACGTCCGCACAGAGACTCACTCTCAAATGTTCACAGTAGCTTTATTTGCAATAGCCATGAAGTGGCCAGAACACAAATGTCAATCAACAGGTGGCTGCATAAACTAACTGTAGACCATCTACACAGGGACACACGGCAATAAAAGAAAGGAGCATACGAACGATGGGACTCACGACAACAGGTGTGAATCTCAAAGAGTAAATATGCCCCCTGCAAGAAGCTTCACCACGAAGAGAGTGCACGCTGTGTCCATCTATCTATAATTTTAGAAAATGCAGACTAATACTCAGGGACAGAAAGCAGATTAGGGGTGGCCTGGGGACGGGGGCAGAGGGAAGGGGGAACACTGCGATGACTATGTTCACTGCTTGACTGTGGGGATGGTTTCACAGTTTCATAGCTATGCCCAAACTGAGCAAACTGCAGACTTTAAATATGTGCAATTTACTATATGTCAATTATACGTCAATAAAAGTTTTCAAAAATAAAAAGCAATACTTGCTTTGTGTCCTAAACATGGAAAATACCAAACACACAGATAAGAGAAAAAAACATTGGTCTTTTCTAAAGTTAACACTGCAGAATTATCTGCCAAGTATAAGCAGCATATCACTCCTCCAAAGTTAAAATTGAAAACACTGACTAAGAAGAGGCTTTGTGAGGGTCACTTCAGTTTCCCGAGGCCACTTGTAGACAATGAAACCGTGAAGCACACTGGTCCCCATTGTTCGGGACGCCCCCCTTCGCTGTCCTTGACATACCACAAACGAAGCTGTGACGCGCTTGCCTGCAGGGGCTGGGGCTGTGGAGGTTCAGACAATCTAACATTCTGCACCCTTATCTGTCTCCCACCCTGAGCAACTGCACAATTTATATTAAAAGAAGCAAATTTACCCTAACTGATATTGGATGTAATCAAACAATAAAAATGTTAGACAAAATTCTGGTGTCAACAAAATTGTGCGTGTATCAGGAAAGGGAAATGGATCGAGTCTCTTCGGCCTGTACACCCTGGAAAACAACAACCGCCCATCATCCTGCTTATAAACAATATAATGAGAACCATCTGAGGAGCAGAAAGACAGTTCCTGGCACCACATTCAAGCACACAAACTTTGGCGAAAAGATAAAAGACGTTAGAAAATGTTCATTCAAGCTTGTCATTTAGAACCCAAAATTCAGATGATCACATCCAGTCCCAGGAAGATTTTGTTTTGTTTTTTAAATGTTTTGCCACATTATGACACAAGGAGAAAGGGGTGCTGTGGAGATTTCTCTTCTCCAAAGTGACTTCGTGAGGTCACTGGACTCATGTTTATACAAAATGTTCCAAGGGACTGCATGGAGACCCTTGAAAATAGGTCACTGTTTATAAAAATCACAAATATCACCCTTTAACCCTTACTCTGGGAGTTAAGGTTTTCCATCAAAGGTAACCATTCTCCCAGACACCCATTAAACTGTCTCTTGGCCACTAACTTGCCACTCCTTCCAAGTGTCCCCCACCGTGAGGCACGGCCCCACTTCCTCCAAAGGTGTGCATTAGAGCCTGTCCCGCACTATCGATCGCACACCCACCTTTCTCTCTGCTCTTTCACCCACGCAGACCAACGTCCACAGCATCTCTTAGCATGCTGCATGCAGGGCAGAAGCTCGGCATACGCTTGATGCATAAACACATGATCTCAATGGCAATGAATGTAGGCTTTCTCCAGCCTGCCGGACAATCCCCAGGGTCCTAAATTTATCTTCCCCACTGAGGAGCAAGTTCGGCTCATTTTACTTCATCAGATTTGTTTATCCAACGGAGATGCACAAATATATTACCTTCTGTATAGTTAACAGAGCAAACATCACATATGCAAGTGAGAGAGGCTCTGGAATCTTTCCCACAAGCGGTTCTGAGCGCGCTGCACTCTGCACGCAGGTGCCTTACTGACCAGGCGTGCACACACAATCACTGATCACAAAAATGCAGGCGCCTGGAAGCCAGTTTCCCCAGGATCCCAGAGGTAAAGCCTCACTATCGCCCAACCCTCTTGATTTCCAGCCCAGTAATTTTCTCCCTCAGCCACTAATTATTAAGGAACATGATTTAAGATCTCCAGGTGGTGTTCTGGGTCAGTAAATCATGGGAACTTTCTCTACCAGACTGTCTTTCATCAGCTTTCCCAATCTGGCCTCCCATAATCCTGACCTACCCATTAACAGTAAGTCTGCTTTGAAAGTTTCCAGAAGTATTCTTTGAATCATTACACTTTGGACCCTGAAGATCATGCCCAAATTTCCTGCTGAGTTCAGGGAACACAGTCATCTAGAGACAGACCCTGTGAAAGTGTATTCAGAATATTCTATAACAATGCCCATGCTAAATATGGTTATTTCTTGATCATAAGAGACATCAGGGGACTCACGGAGCGATCAGACTTCTTTACTAACCATAGAGTCTATAATATACTTCACAAATATGCCTGCGTAACTAACTATAGTTATTCTGCACTGCCATCTGCCTTCAACCTATAAGAAAATAAACCCTCTTTGCAATCCCCGTGAATCTTCTGCTGTCCTGGCAGCAGGATGCGTGTGCCTCCTACCCAGGGGTAGCACGTGCGTCCTGATGATAAGATGTCTCTGCAGACATGTCTTCCAAGCGTCGTCAGGACAGAGGGATGTAAAGGGAGTGGCAATGCCACACTAATCCCATAGGCACTAGCCGTAACAACGCAGCAGTGATACCATTATTTCAGAGGCACCGAGATAGCCAAGGCTTCAAGGCTCCCCACCCACAACAGCTCTAGCACGGAATTTCCTTAAGTTTCTTTCTTCTTTCTCTTTCTCCTCAAATATACATTAAGTCCAGACCTGTATTTGCTCCGACATTCCAAAGGCCATTTATGGCTTTCCTGCCTGTCTCTTCAAGAGAGAAGTTAGCCTAATCTAAAAGACACCGTAAGAAAAATAAAAACATGCTAAAGTCTAATCCATCAAACATTTTTTAAAAAGGGGTTGTTATGTTACATTCTTGAACTACCACCTCAAGGCTTTGACTTTTAGATTTCTCTCTTTCCCAAGGCCTGCGACACCCTGCCCCCTGCTTTCAGGCAAATTGTTCCTTCAAAATTCTTATTAATTTCTAATCTTTCTTCTTTTACATTTTATAGCTGATTTTTTAGCTCTTAGTTTTCTTTCAGCTGATTTCACAAAAGGAAGGCTGAACGTGTGCAGTAAAAAGAGTATGCAACGACGTTGCTTAAACAGGCCTTTTATTAATCATTCAGAGATGCTGTGTCAGGTCTTCATGTTCTTGTATAATCTCTTAATTCCAGCCCTTTTCCATAGGCTCGGGGTCCTGCGCCCTGCCCCTGAATGCTTCCAAAAGAAAAAACTCTCAGGCCCCATTTCTCTTCTATACAATTAAATTCTTATATGGCTCAATCACTCTTAAAATTCAATTGCTGGTTTTCTATGACTCCATACCTCCCTCCTATGCTCCATCAGAGGAGCACATCAGACTCTTGCCAAACAGGTGACTATCTCAAAGTAAAAGTAAATCCTAATACACTCAAAATCCATCTTAGATTTATGTTTACTTTTAACTATCAAGAAAGACAGTCTCTATGAATGCCAGGTTGAAATATGCTGACAAAAGGTTTAAAACTAACATTTTAACATACCTTTCAAGACAGGTATTACACACATGCGCACTCTCTATTAGGAATCTTTTTATAGACATTTGGGGACTCGAATATTGAACTCAAGATTCTTTCCACTTTAAGGATTGCTTTCTTTTAAGTTCAACAAAGGAAATTGTGAAATAAAATGATACCAAAAAAAGGAACAACAAAGATTGCTAAGGATGCTGAGAATGTCTTTTTTTAATTTTGATTTCTGTATATTATTTTCTTGACATACATCAAACAGAAAACCCAGTAACTGAACAGGCGGGCTCCCTAGAATAAGGAAGGACATAAGCAAAACCATGACAGAGGCATGCAAATTACAGTGACTCACCTCCCTGAGAATTCCTAATGAGATGCTACAGAAAAGTACTGAGTCACCGAAATGTCTGGGCTCAAAGGCCAGCTATCTATTTGATAAGAAGTTTTATTTTCTTACAAATAAACTGTCCTCTCAACATCCAATGGCGGTTCTTGTTTTAACTCTAATCAAGAAACCACAGAGCAGGAGTCCAAAGGTGACGCGCTGGGTGCATCAGTGGTCGCCAGCTTCCGTCACACAGGCGGCAGCTACGGGGAAGCTCTTTGCAAAATAATAAAAAAGCAAACCAAGGACTGAGAAGGTAGATGTACTGTCCAATGTAAAAGAACAAAGATTAGATGTTTGTAAGGACTTTGGAAGAGGATTTTAGAGTCAAGAGGCTTTCTGCTTAGAAGTGGGGGGTGAGACATTGAGAGGAGAAAACAGAGGAAGACTTGAGGACCAGTTCAAGAAAGTCACTGCTCCCCATCTGAAAACAGCTGACTCCTGGTCCCTACTGCTGCAGAGACTGCTTGTGGGAAAATTCCAAACAACCTAACAACAACAGAACTGCTGCGAACTGTGAAATAAAACTCTTTTGATATTCTTCATAAGAGGTCATTAAGAAAACTGGAATACTTCACAGCTGTAGAATTTGCAGTAAATTTAAGATATATCACTAATTTAGGAGCTATTACTGAAACAATGGTTGCTTTTTAACCTGCAAGTGAAAAACTCTACTAATGAGCAAAATCATAAAATAGCTTTACAAAAGCAAATTCAAAGAAAAACCACATTTGGATTAAATTTTCATCTGGCAAGAGACCTGTTTGGAATAACTCAGACAGAGAATAATTTATTAAAAACTAAAGAAAAGCAGAACTTAAACTTTCCCGTCGGGAGAGCACACACAAGAACATTTCACACAGTCCTATTAACACGTACCTGTCTTAGGATGTATTGAAAAGAAGCCCTGTGGATTTCCACTCGTGATTCTGTACGTCAGCTTGTCACTAGAGCTGGAGTCCGGGTCCAGTGCCTCGATGAGGACCACGGACACATCCTTGGGGGAGTTCTCCATGACTTCTGGGTAGTAAACGGGCTCCGAGGCCCGCGGCGCGTTGTCATTGACGTCCTCCACCTCGATGTAGACCTCGATGAACGACGAGAGAGGCACAACGCCCCGATCGGTGGCGTAGACCGTCAGCCAGTAGTGGGAGGTGGACTCGCGGTCCAGGCGATCTGAAGTCTCTATGACGCCTGGGGACAAAGAAGGAAGACATGAAGTAGCGGGCCAACGGCGATGAAAACAGCCACGCTGAGAAAGTGTCAACCGCAGTGACGACTCTGATTTACTGGGCGCTACGTGTCACAGCTGCGTGATCTGAAGCAAGTTAGCTAATCTCTGACTGTGTCCCTTCCTATGAAACAGAGACAATGACAGTCCGTTCCCCTGAGGTTGATTAAATGACCTCACACACACGTAATGATCAGAACGGGACTTGGTACATCACGCTGGCTGTTAAGGTATTTGTCATTATTAGGACTGGGTGCCAGGTGCTATGTGAAGCGCTTCACCAGTATCATCTAAGTCTCAGAACCACCCAGTGAGATGGATGGGTACTAAGAGATCACCTAATGGCCCGATACTTTGCTTTTCCAAGGATGAAATTCATGGTTGGTTAAGATTTGGTGACTTTTCTAGATTGAATCAGGGAGCCAGAGACAAGACCAGAGCCATGGCCCAGATCGGAGTCCCCACCATCTAGCACCCTTGCTCCCCAGCTGCGCTCGTGGGGCCCCTGCTCCAGTTTAGTGGAGGCAGCTGGAGCCACGCTCCTCCACACAGTCTTAGTTTGGCAGACACACCCTGCACAGCAGCTAAGAAACACAGAGGACAGCCTTTCAAAGTCCAGAGTACGGGACTGCTCAGGTCACTTGTGGACTGAAACCCTGGGTTTCTTTTAATCATAAGCACATGGCAGGACAACCAGTGTGCTAAAAATATACATTCTCTCCCTTACACCATAAGCTCCAAAAGGGCAGAGGCCACATGTTTTTCAAATATTAGTACACCCAGCACCTTACCCAAAGCCCACTAATTATTCCTTAAATGAATGAACAAAAGTGAATAGATAACTGGAGTTGGTACAGAAAAGTCCTCAATTAAGACCCAAACTAGGACACATATCTCATTAAGTCAACTGGGAAAAAGGTGGAATTATATAATTACAAAGAAGAAGGTGTGAGTGTATGGTTTCAGCCCAGCCACTGAAATTAGTCAAAATCTCACTTGATCCCAGGATTAACCTCTTCTCAGGATGATGAACAGTGAAAATATCCATTTCTCTTAGGCAAATCATGTCCTTTGGCGTTCCCAAAACATATCACTGCATTTTTTTCTGGTGCATTAACCATTCCGAACGAGTACTGCTTTTAGGGTTCAACACAATGGTCCATGTTGGACTCTGAAAATCCTACAACTCTTGAACCACTGAAATTTCCCATTTAATGCAATTCTCCTTCAAAGGTTGCTAAGAATTAATGAAGTGAGAGTAATTATAAGCTTGTGAATAGCAATAAACATTCATTTTATGATAATCTAGTTCACATTTTAATATTTAGTAAGTTTGCTATTTATAAGTTATAAATCTTTTGGGGAGTGTTAGATATTACCTAATATGCAAAATAAATGAGATTTTTCTCCTATTAACTACCTCAACTAAGCAAATATTTAAATTTATAAATGGATCTGGAATACTACTCATAGAAACATGGAATAGAATCTCAGAACTCTTAAACAAAAACGAGCTAACTGGTCTATGTGGCAGAGACAACCATCAGATAAACTCAAACACGTTTTCCTTTCTCTCTGGTCCAAGCATAGTGCATGTGCTCTGCTCACTAAATTAGTAAAAGAGTATGTTTTAGCTTGATGAGTGCCCTTAGCAACCAAGAGAAAATAATCTTTTCCAGTTTCAATGTCTCCTCATTCCCATCAGCGGAGGGATAGATGAAGGCAGTCGGGGAATACCAGACGTTCTCTCCCCTAGGATCGCATGTTAACAAATGAGCGCACACAGGCCCCTCTTGTGTTCTGCCATGTCATTAAAATGCAAACGAATTCACCTAGCAGGTGAAGGATTATTAGAAAATTTCAAGAGGGCAGGTACATGGTGCTTGTCTTCACCTCCTTCCAGTTCTAATCCTCAAACAGGTCGTGCTGCTATCATCCACTTTTGTAAATTGTGTCCCTCGAACCGTGATTTGTAGGCCTTAAATGACAACAGTAATTATGGACCCAGATTTGTTCAGTTTCCTGTATGCCAACCTTGTGATAACTGTCTTACAGGCATTACCTTATTTAATCCATCCAACCTGCCTACATATCATGGATGCAAACCTGGGATTAAGAGAGAGGAGGAATGCTCCTGGGGTCACAGTAAATGGCAGAGCTGGAGTTCAGACACATTCTGGCTGCAGCGCCAGCAAATGTCGTCAGTCCTGCTGTTGGTGAGACAAAAGTGTAGCACACAAAATTGAATGTGAAAACTCTGAGAAGTCTAGTTGAACCTCGTATTTTGTCCATTTCTTAACATGTCAGTATTCAGGAGGAGTGTTAATTGTTTGCGCATATAGAATAGCTTTTCCTAGTGTCTGGGTGGAAGAGAAAACTGTAAAATGAAAAATGAAATGAAAGTGTACTGTGAGGTTTAAACCACTGGCAGCCAGCTCTTTCTTTTCCATCAAATTCCACTCTGAGTCTGGTGTGAAAGTGTCCAGACTGCACGGAACAGTTGTGGGTGGGGTGCCTTCTGCTGCGACAGGCCCTGGGGGAGCAGCCACAGCCTTCTTGGCGTGACCTCCTAGACAGGTTAAGAGGGGGAAGTTTCCGAATTTCAGGTAATCTCCGGAAACTAATGAAGGTAAAAGTGAGAGAGCAAAGTGGCTCTACTCAAATATGGAAGAAAACTAAGACTGTACTAATTAGCAATTTAAATACTAAATATGCATAGCAAGATGCTTAGAGGTTCATATTTCATTAATTCATAGACTATATTTTCATAATGTATAGTGATTGCTATGATAGTTATGTTGTGATGTATTTTAATTACTACACGCTCATAAAAGAACAAGACTATTTAATGAAGCTTACAGGTGACTATAAAATAAATTTTGACTGTCAAAGGGGAATGAGGGAATACTGAATAATTTCTAACCAAAATGCTCAAAGTCATATTAATGAAGTATACTTTCTGAATTTATGATAATTTAATAATACAAATACTTGCTGTATGCCAAGGACTACACTAGGGGCTTTACATGCATTAAATCGCTTAAAGAACACAAAACTGTATGATTTTTATCCCAGCTTTATAAAAGAGGAAGCAGAAGCTTAAAGTAATCCACTTGCCCAAGCTTTAGAGCTCAAGAAACAAATCCATGGTCAACACTGACTTGGTTGAACTGGGATCTGAGTCAGACTGATTCCAGAACTCAGGGTCTTCACCATCGGGCCAGACTAGCGATTTTCAACCTTTTTGATCTCATGGGGCCCAAGCTAATTACTAAAATTCTGCAGCACACCAAAAAATATATTTTTTGCCAATCTGACAATAAAAAAAGGTATAATTTTGATTCCTTCACACCAGATAGCTATTTTGTGTTGGCTGTTGTCATTTTTTTATTTGACAATCCAAGGGAAAGGGGGTCAGTGCCCCTGACTAAATGGTCAGGTACTGTTTTGTGTGTTTTTTATATATCTTTATTGATTTCAGAGACAGGAAGGAAGAGGGAGAGAGACACAGAAACATCATTGATGAGAGAGTCGTCATTGATCGGCTGCCTCCTGCACGCCCCCTACTGGGGATTGTGCCTACAACCTGGGCATGCTCCCTGAACAGGAATTGAACCTGTGACCTCCTGGTTCATAGGTCAATGCTCAACCACTGAGCCACCCCAGCTGGGCAAGAGAGCAGGGTTTTTTTAAATATATCTTTATCGATTTCAGAGAGAGGAAGGGAGAGGGAGAGAGAGAGAAACATCAATGATGAGAGTCGTCATTGATCGGCCGCCTCCTGCACGCCCCTCACTGGGGATCGAGCTCGCAACCCAGGCATGTGCCCTGACCGGGAATCGAACCTCGATCTCCTGGATCCCAGGTCGATACTCAACTGCTGAGCCACACCCGGCCGGGTCAGGTACTGTATGTTTTCAAAATTCTTGCGGCACATCGGTTGAAAATCACTGGGCTAGACTGTCATCGTTAGCCGCAGCATCACTGTCACACACCCCACAGCACCAAGGACGCTGGAGACCATGGGGGGAGGGGGACAACAGCCATGATGAGAGGCTACAAGTTTTCAACAGCTGAAATAAGAGTCCTCCCCGCACTTAAAGGACACTAAAGGAGAGAAGATCCAAGGGCTCTGCTTGGCCACAGAGTTGCAGCGTCTGGTGCCTAAGCACTATTCTAACTGTACATCCTAATTCTAGGCACTATACCAAAAGCATAAAGCAGGTGGGGAAAGGACATACATACGCAAGGCTTTGTGTGTTCTGCTTTTTAATCTGTCTGTTCAGTCACAAGATATAACCCCCCTTGACCCCCAAGAACAAGCTGAAGCCCTACACTGAGCTCCCATCTGGAACCCAGGAAGAGAAGTCAAGTTTAGGAGAGGCTAGAAACAGACTAGACAATCTGCACAGAAAGACTAGCATCTGAAAGTCAAGAACTGTAGACTGGGAACCCCTTAGAAATCCTCAGGGCAGCTCTCTTGTTGTTAAAGAAAGTTGGAATGTTTTGCCCAACTTCAGGAAATTACACATACAGATTCCAGACTCCAGAGCGAGGCACCTGCTCAATCAGGGCTCATCAGAAACCCAACCATTCTTCACACGGATCCGGTTTTAAGTCCTAATCCCTACACTTCTGTTCCCAGTCCTTCCTAAAGCCACAACTAGCATTTATAGCTGGATTTCCTCTGTAACTTCAGCATAAACTTAACTCATAAAATGGAAACAACTTTTCAAAATTGTATTATGAAGATTTCTAATTAGTGCCTTTAACATAGGAAACCAACACAAACTTGGCACCTGGTCATCACTGGACGTGAACCCATCAACCCACTGGGTTCGTTCTCAAAACTCCCTCACTCCTCTCTCACTCAATCCATGAGCTACCATCCAACTTTCAGTAACTTACTTTTTTGCACACTGAGTCATAAATTCACTTTTCCTGAAGCAATTCCCTAAGAAAC